GTGTTTTCACTCTTGATAGTTACATTTTCAGCTGGTGCAGTTCACTTACCACTGCGCCATGTCAAACAATTCAAACCCTTTGAGAAACCTGTTCACCCCCTTGCCTGTGGTGGCGCTGCAGCACAAATAGCTGAGTGGAACGACACAAAAACTTCAGAGGAAGATTAACGCAAATTCTTTCTTCACAGAACAAATGGAGTAGCATGTTAGCAGTTCTATGAATTAATTTTTTGTCTTTGGTAAAAGACCATGAGACCTTTTTTGTAATAGCATTAGACTCTCTTGTTTGTTTAGACTGTATTTACCCAGAATGCCCTATGGTGTTGATGGCTTCCTGCTTTTGGTCAGTTTGGCTTTCACATTTGCAATCAAACCACACCGGTGTTCACTTCAACCTAATCGTGACTTCGACTTGTAGGCGGACCAGAGTTCAGTTTTTTGGCCAACATTGTATAATGTGTATACGGTACATCACAAAAGCATTTATGCACCTGAACTACTTTACATTTTGTTGTTCTGATGATATGATATGATCATATCTGATGATATGATACTCCACACGCTTGGATTACTCCTAGCTTCCATTTGTTTTATCATTTTTATCATTTCTTCTTCTTCTTCTTTCTGTAGGAACCAGTTGTGAGCATGGCCAGTGTGGACACCCAGGCCTCCATCCCCATGAACCTCTCACTGACCTCGATGCTCAACAAGGAGCCTCTGCTTGAGCTCCTCCCTGCCCTGGAGCCTCTGGAGCATCATGTACGTTACATCATAACCCACGGCAACACCGACGAACACTTCCGCCTTGTGGAGCGTCGGGACGGAAAGAGCGTGCTCCGGCTTGGGAAGAGGCCGCCTCAGCCTGGATCCTACCTGCTGGAGATCACCAGCCTGCCTCTGTTTGGACCCCGCAGACTACATCAGCTGGAGGAGCAGCACGACTATGACTACCTACAGGGGGAAATAGGGGATGCTCTGCGGATCAAGCTCCACATTCACCTGCACTGAGCTCAGTGTATGTGTGTGCAATCCTTCTCTGGACTTAATTGTTAACCATCGAATTGCTCCCCCGCCTGAAAGGACCATCAGACTAACAGAGGGAGAATTACGGGCTATGACAAACTGAGTCAATAAGCCCACGTCTACCACCACTTTGTTACTCTGCAAGTTATATGTTGATGTTTTTTTTTTCCTTTATTTGTATCATGACTATAATTCTACCTGACCCAGCACTCATTTCTCTGCTGAGAGGCAGCGGAGAAGAAGGCAAAGAGATGCTCTTGTACTCGGGCCTCTCCATCCAGAAAACGAAGCAGGTCTGTTTAGGCTAGACGGGGGTTTTATTCAGTGTCTCAAAGGGATGAGCTAAAATGTTTTGGGGGTTTTCTTAGTCGTGTGAAAGTACCTGAACTTGGAATTCTTTCACAACACTTGAGGAAAAAGGTTTGCCACATTTTGCCCCTCTCAATATTCAAGTGTGCCATTTAATGTATTTGTGCTTTTTGAAAGATTATCACCACGAAGGACTGCAACATTTACACAGCATTTCAGGTTCTTACGTCCAAAGCACTCCGTTCTTTGCAGCTCGGCGACGACCGGTCCTCAGATCCGGACACGAAGAAGCTGCGTTCTGCTCTGATGCGACTGGCTGTTGCTCGTGCCTGCAGGCGGAGAGCTAAGCAGGGATTGGCGTGTTTGCGTGCGTGTGTGCTGTCATGTTTGCTTACCTCAGTATGTCTCGCACAGTGTGGACGCCATGCTGTGATGCTGACTTTGAAACAAAAGAGGGTGCTAGCGTCCCTCAGCATCCATCACAAGCAGGGAAACACCATTTAGCAGCTCATAGTCTTTAAAAGAAGTTAGATCATGTTGAATTTGTTTTTATCTTCACTTCAGTTGTACTGATTCTCATCCTGAGAGCCAGCTTTGTCGTTGAGCAGGAAGTCTTCTGAAAAGCTTCAGGAGTTGTAGTTGAAATGAAGCTTACTTTATCTGACTTCTTTGACAACTGAAGGCTGAGCCTAGTTTACAACGTGACAGGAGCCATCTCAAAGGTACATGACAGCTATAGCGTTTATTGCTGTGGAAACGTTTTTGTCCCCTCACAAATGTATTCTGCTTTTGACAGTTAAATGATTCAGATCATCAAGTTGATATTGTATCTCACTTTTGTTTTCAGATATATTTTCTGAGCCATTTGGAGAAAAAAATTTATGGTTCCATCATTTACAGCAACTCTTTCTGGTCCTGAAGCAATAAAACAGACCCAGTCCATCACTGATAATGTGATTTATTTTTCTGAAATGTAATCTTAAATTCACATCATGATGCTATGATGCACACAAAAATGTTTACTCCTGTCAGTTCATATATTATTTTTCTCACCTTCTCTAAAATATTAAGGGGACCTTTAATACAGAATTCAAAATTTTGACATTTTGGCTTCCATTTGGGTCTCAACTGTTTCTAAATATTGTCTTTAAGAAAATACCCAGCAGTTTTTTGGCAATAAGTCAGTGTGGTCTTTTGGTGTCTGGAAAAAGAGCCTTTTGAAACACCTCCAGTCACATTCAATGGACACAGCATCATTACCTAGCAAACCCAGTTGAGCTCCAGCATGTTTGGCCAGCTGGATTTACCACTATATGCACTGTACAATGGCTGGTAGAAAAGACAAGTGTTTTGTTGTTGACTTATTATTCAGAAACTACTTTTTGTATTCTTGTTGATTGCACAGGAGGCTCCACAAACAGCTCATTCTGAAAGGAGCTCAAAATAGAACAGACTAAAATCTCATTATGATTTTGTTCTAAAATTTGTACCCAGTGTCATTCTTGTGGTTAAATCATGACAGCTGATGTTTTCTGAAGTAAAGATGGATGAGTGATTAACATGCTCTTGGAATAAATTTGATTCATGTTTTCTCCAGCTTGTCTTTGATTATCTGAAACATTTAAAAAAGGAAAAAAAAAAAACAGAAGAAATCGCCAAGGGGGCAAAAACATTTTCACAACAATGTAAATTAGTGACTTAGAAAGGAGGGAGGACACACACGGCGAACACAAAACCTCACAAAAAATATCTGTTAGGTCATACTTATTTTGTCTCTGAAAGAGAAAAAGGTGCTACATTATGCCATCTATGTTGCTGTAAAAAATAAGCGCAGTCTTGAATCTGCTAACTTTTTTCTAGTGTTTGTTGTTGTGCATGTCTGCCTCTTGAAATGTCTGACAAACATATTATCAAACATGCTTGTTGAAATTAAATTGTATATTTCAAATGAAAAGTAATTTTTTATTTTTTTTTTTACTGTCAAGTCAACAATATAAACAAAACAGCTGAGTGTGACATTCTGTTTCAGGACAGCTTAAGAAGAAAAAGCAAGGTAAAAATAAATATCTGTCGATCACGAATCAGTGATCAACAAAAAGGTAGTAAAACTATATGCTTATCTGTAATCTCACACACAGGGAAACATACACTGTCTGTAGGATGCCAAAGATGATGAGGCATATTTGCAAACAATGCTGGGATCTACTTGGTGCTACAATAATCCTTTTTTTTGAACATTCAGGGTTACTGCACTTTTCCACAGCTAACAGAGTAGACCAATGTTTATAGCACATAACCATTTTCTAATCTGAAAAAGTTTGTATACTGTGTATCTTTACTGTCGAGCTGTAATTTTTTTCTCTTTGCTAAAAAGGCTGTAACCCACCTTCAGCGTCAAACTTGAATACTGCCTTTGTTATTCTTTTTGCAGGTTTTTTAGTAAAAAAATTGAGTAGCGGGAAGAGGTGGGGGGAGCGCGGAGGGCTTAACTCAAAGCTGATGACAATCACTCTGTTGCATCTACAACAACTTTCATTCCTATTGGAGGATTTTTAGTATCCTAAATGATTGTGTGTTGATGGAAACCAAAGATTTTTGCAGCCAGTGTGGAAAAATGTAAATGACACATTGTACAATTTTGTCCGGTGACGATTATGGCAATAAAATGTTGTTGTTGTATTTTTACTCTTTTTTTTTTTTTTTTTTTTAGGTTTTAGGATGGCACATCAAACCAAAACCTTCAGCAGAATGATTTGGGTTCATTTAAAGGTTTGGTGCACTTCTCAAATCATCCCTGACTTTTGCAAAAGAGTACAGAAAATGTATTCCTCAAAACTATTTTGTACAAACGGCTTGAATTACCAGCAAGAGTTCAAATTCCTTAGTTCATCTCTCAAAGATAAATATCTCTATCAGTAATGTACTCTGAAGGGATGTTCTGATGCAAACTATGACTAAAATTTTGATGACAAATGTTGTAGGTAGGAGATCGATGACAAGAGACTTTACAAAAGTCCCAAGGTAAAAAAAAAAAAATAAATAAATCCAGTCAATCTAAGGCAAGATTTGAAAACTGACAGATATATATCAAATCTATGTGAGTTTGAGCTATTTTGCACAGAGAAATCTAGAAAAGTGATTAAAACCCAGGACCTTCTTGCTGCAAGGCAACGGTGCTACCAACTGCACAGTGACACGGTTGGTAGCGCCGTTGCCTTTCAGCAAGAAGGTTGTGGGTTTGATTCCAAGCCCAGGGTCTTTCTGCCTGGGGTTTGCATGTTCTCCCTGTGCATTCGCAGGTTCTCTCCGTACACCAGCTAGGGACAAGGGCGCACAGAAAATGGATGGATGGATGTCATTATCCACATACACAAAACAAGAAGCGTCAAAAAACAGAATTAGACTCTGGGGGTCTGAATACAAAACTAATCTGCTATTGGAGGATTTGTTGTGGGTTTATCACATAAAATCCCACTGCAACACATTTAATAATTGGAATATAACGTGAAAAACTTGAAAAGATATATGTCATTTAAGTATAAATTTTGCTTTTTCTTTTAAATTCATTTTTATTAAATACACTATGCATAAAAGTCTGGGAGCACCACTACTGGCAAACAGGAACAAAAGAAAAAGCAGCACAAGGAAATTTAATGTGTTAAGTAGAATTTATTTTTATTTAATTTCCCATACGGTTTGTGAACTTCTACCTCAGATCAGCACATATGAATTCTGCAAGAAAGAGATCTCATCTTCTTATTTAACCCAGCATTGAAAAAGAAAGCCAACTGTCAGAAAAACACACTCACAAAAAGCCAAGCTGTTTGTTTTGCCTCCTTTTAAAACAAGGCTGCATGACGGCCTCAGAAGTTTCTGTCTAAAAGTTGGTATGTTAGGAGGAAGAGACAAAAAGATAGAAAAAAGGAGACTCCCAAAACTTGAGTCGAGATTAGAAAAATAATTTTTGTCCTAATTGATGCAGTTTGTTTCATTGTCACAAAAACAGGAACATAACCCTCTACATGCAGTAACAAACTAGTTTTTTGTGTGTTGTTTTTTTATATGGCTTCTCAGTGTAGACACAACACATTAAGCATAGACCGTCAGGGTTTTGTAGAAACTATTTGCATGGATTTTTGAAAACGTGAAGCCAAAACTCAGAATCAGCGAGTAAAATGAGCTCCTGGATTAGAAGTGAAAACTTAGACACTTGACCGGATCTAGTTAAAGGGGCATCTGCTAAAGACTAACTTTTTTCTGAGTCCATCCAACACCTGAGTTCTTTTAACTGTCTGCATTAAGCACAGAGTGAATTAAAAAAGCAGCATGAGTTTGTGAAGTAAAGTAATATTGTGTACAACCAAAAACCGATAAAAATAGTGATGCTGTGGGTGGATGGTGTCATCGGCTGTTACAGTAGGTCAGGTTAAGGCAGTTGTTGTCTGTCATTTAATGGCCCAGTTTCTACAGTACTGTGGGAAAAAACCCTTACAGATTTGTTTTTGTTTTTGCCTCTTTTACTGTCGCAATAAAATGTATTTTTCATTTAATTTTTTAAAAGGTGAACTCATTTTCATAGTCACCGCTGAGTTGTGAGTCCTTTCAGACCTGTTGAATCAATAAATCAACAAATAATTCAACATGAAGTAGGATAAAATATCTCTAAAGACATTCAAGATCAGATCAGAGAGAGGTTTTCAAGTTCATCAATTTGAAAAAGGCTACAAGGCTTTCCTAATGCTTGGGTATCTTACACTACAAGCTATTCATGCTTAAAAACTGTACAGTATGTCTGAATGAAAATAATTCTGAATAAAGATACCTCATCTGTTATCGAAAACACTCAGTTAGATTTATTGCTGCCAAAAGTGGCAAAGCAAGTTAAATTTAAGAGATTTTTTGCTCTAAACAAATTAAATCTTTTGTAAGTTTCTTTGAGTTATCTTGGTCTGATATTAAAAGTTTTAAATTATGAAACAGATTTTAAAATGTGACAAGAAAACAAAAAGCAAAAACAGAATAAATCTGAAAGTGGGCACATACTTTTTCACAGCACTGCGAGGGTTTGCCTGTCCAGGTGAATCCTGTGTTGAACAACACTTGATGTAGATAAATAGTCCTGCAGCATTCATTTACACCAACAAAAGGTTGACCCATCTGCTAGTGCATTTACAACAGTACACTATGTATCATCACTTTCTGAGGAAAACTAAAAAAAAAAAATTATGTAATCTGTGGCCTACACCAGTGCATAATCAAACTGACCCCTCTCTATGCCCTCCTTGTGGTCAGTCCAGGATGATGCAGGCATGCGACTGTATGGGTCCAGCAGGATCCTGAAGCATCTGACGAGCAGGAAGACCAAGAAAAGCATGAGGAGGCCAACGAAGGCCAAGGCTGTACGCTGCTCTGTGTCCACCGCGACCAAGGCGAGGGGAGGGCTGCTGCCACCGCTGCCTGGACTGCTGGGCAGCGAGGAGCTGGCCGGGGACATCAGCGACTCGTAGTCCAGGGTGGGTACATCGTTCATTCTCCACGGGGCCCGGAGACAGGGCTTACACACCGACTGGATGGTGGGTGTGTTGGGCTGAAGTGTGGAGAAGAAGGGGAAGGCGTTCATGAGAGGTGATGAAGAAGTCAGCATGCAACTTTTATATTTGACAGGCAGGCGGACTGATGTGATGTATTCGTCTAAGGTGTTGGTATTTTTGCTGTGTCACACATTTTTTTTTTCTGGTGGCCACTTGACGCTGTCAAAGCTAAGTAAGTCAAAGTGACTTGACCTACAAAAGGTCTGACTTTAATCTGCTCTGACAACGTGTCAGACAGACGCACGTGTGCACTTTGCAATTAGCACAAGCTGCGTTTGTGTGTCACTTATTTGAGGATGCGACTCTAAAAAGTCTGATGACGATCAGCCACCTTCTTATTTGAGCATCGGTGCCTCAGGCAGTAATTCTTCCTCCCTGCTTATCAGAGCCACGCAACCACCATCAGGTGTCTTTGAGACTCTCAATCATAGCACACAGGGCATGGCACCGTCTTCCGCTAGGGCAAACAAACACAAACAAACATCTCTATTCTGCGCCAAGGTCAGTGTTGTCCAAGAGAGATGATACAATGCAGGAGGACATCTAACACTGGACTTGGTTGGGCGGTTTCAGAGCTTGTCTGCGTCCTGTTACAAACAGACTACCTCAGCAGCCAGATGCAACTGTTTGCATACGTGTGTGGCAGCTAATTAGAACTGGAGGTCGCTTGATTAATGACCCTGCATGTTAAACGGCCCATAACCTTCTCTGATGCCGCCTGCTAAATGCAAAGTTTCCTCTTCATCCAGCTAGCTGGAGCACGAAAAGTGGGTCAGTACAGTCATGCGTTGAATAAGTTTCATTTGCCGTCTTCCCTTCTGGATGGTTTTCTCAAAAAAAAAAAAAAAAAGGAAAATGAAAAAAAGTCTTTCTTTTTAAGTTGAGAAGCAACAAGAAGCACAAAATCTTTGGAGAAACAGAATCCGCTTAAATGCTTGTTCCAGGAATCCTCCGCAGTTCTCAGCAGAGCGTTATCGGTCTGATCAGACGTCCAGGTGAAGCTGAGCCCGTTTCCTACACCTAAAAACAACAGAAGCTCCAGGTTACAATCTGTGCAAAACCACACAAATAAAACTTTACAATTACACACAAAAACACTACTTTTAAACCCAAATGCCAGGTTAACACCAATTTGAAAGAGATTGCGTAGTTTTGACCGAGCATCGGGTCAAAACTTGCTACCTATAGGTCTGAATTAAAGAATGTAATGTAATGTTTACAGTCTAAACATTGGACATATTTGGTGACACACCAAATATGTCCAAAGGAGAACCGAACAAATTTATCAGACTATTATTGAAATGCTTTGTTGAAGAACCTTTAAAAGATTAAATTTTAGCATTCAGTCATCTTGGCTTTGCTTCTGCCACAATTGCAGTAAATCTGATTAAACTGAAAGGTTTTGCTGTCTGAACAGGATGTTTCTCACACTGCATCCTTCAGGCGCAGCCATAGTTTACACAGCAAGATTTATTAGAATATAAATGTACAAATGTATCTCTCAGGAGAAGACAACAAAAAGCTTCACAGCTTAGCCCAAGAGTAAGGAAGACCATATATTGTTATTTCTTTCTGGTGATAAAGCTTCTTTTCAATTTACTTGGCTTGTCATGATGGAAAATATCCTCATTCCCATTTAAATTTTGACAGATTTGCAAGGAAAATGTAGTAGGTTTTGGTTTGGTTTGGTTTGGTTTGTGGGCTGAATCTCTATGTAAACTCTCCAAATTCCCTATCAATGCCAAACAGCTTTTGTTGGACAAAAACATAATTGAAACATTGAAAATAAAAAGTTCTTCTTATTTAGAAGAGTATTATTTTCCTGTCTGTCGTCATGCATCTCTTGGATTAAAACCTGGTTCTGATTGGTCAATCAGTACCTTGTGAAGTCTCCTGCCCTGGGGCTGCAATTCCTGTAGATTTGCTGGAGTTTTCAGATTCAGACAGAGACGGAAAACGAACCAGAACCAGACGAATTCTGGAGTAATCTAGATTAAATTAATTGCAATCGATTGATCCTGAAAAAGTAATAATCCGGGAAATACGCAGGCACCTGCCATCTCCTCAGAACCTATTAAAAATCTATAGATTTTACTCTAGTTTATCAATACTACATTTTACTCCTTTTTTATTACAGATAATGGGATATCTCCTTAACTCACATTTGGAGACCTTAATGTTGAGATATTAGTCACTTTAACTCATTTTTTAATTGAAAAATAACGCCAGTATTCTTTGTTCCTCCGACCTGAGATGTGTTCAGCCCAGCAGTTTTTAAAATGTACAGTTGGCCCAATGAAATTTAACAATAAAATCATCTTCATACGTCAGTCTGACTGGATTTAATGTGATCCATAAGCAAAAGATGAAGTCATTCTTAGTATTATTTCATCATGCTGTGGGGTTATGGTGACTATGTGCTATTTAAGTAACAGTGACATTAACCATCTGCATGGAGAGCACAGCATCAGCACTCCCCATAATGACACTCAATTAGGAAGCTGATTATGGTGTCATTATGGCCACATTAGCGGTAATGAAAGCATGGTTATAAACAAAGCTGCATTATCTCGCTCTCATTTGTCATTGCATTGTTAAAGAGGAGCTCTGGGTCCTTAACTGACCCCCTTTTTGTAAATTTGGCAACATTATGGATGGAAAGACAAAGTGTTGTGGAGGGTTGTAAATAATGTATCATCACATCACCTGCAGCGGACCAGGTTTCGAATCGTTGGAGGAATGTGATACACAAACCATTTACACCTGCTCACCGGTCCAAACAGAATGACTGAGCCATTTGTTCAGACAAATGTAATGCAACACAGGTAGCGCACAGTGTGTGTGGGCTGGGGTTTCGCAAAATGCATTTTATCATGTAAAAAGAACCTGCAGAAGGAAAGCAGAGGAGGATGGAAGTTAAAAGATTGGCAGACGAGCTAAAGATGCACGAACAGAAGCTCCTGTGGCGAATGGGCAGCAGTTCTGAGGAAAGAGGAAAAGTTCACTGGCACAGTCTGGACTGACTCTCCTCTGCGTGACCATGGCAAAATGCCTTCTCCACACATTCCCTGCCTCTCTGTCGTGTTCAGTTCAAAGGTTTCCTGTCTGCTACTTCATCAGCTGGAGCCTCCAGGGTCTGCTCTGCACCAGGCTGGCTGGCAGCAGGATGACACACCTGGGAGCAGATACTCACCGTCTGAATGAATGTGCACTTTTGCATTTGAGCAAAAATAGATGTGCTGCATTTGTGCAGCACATCCAGATTTACGCTGACTTTTAGCCCTGCAAGATAAATTCTTTATAATAGAAATGATAAAGAATTAAACTATGGCAAAGGTACCTTCAGCTGTGTGTGCAGGAGACTCACTGTTATTGAAAGAATAAACCTTGAACTCGAGTTTCAGATTTAGAGGCAATATTTCTGCATAGTGACACAACTAGAAATGTGCTGCATTTGTCATTCTTTTCACCTGACAAAGTTGAAACTTAAAAAAAAAAGCCCTGCAGTCTTGGTATCAAATATGCATCATTACAAAAAGAAACATATACTGGTAACAAAATTCAATTTCTGATTTACTTCACAATTCTTGCATTTGTGGTCTGTTGGTAAAAAATGATGCACCGTTGTGCTGCACAAAATTGCAATACTATTGAAAATTGCATTGAAAATATCCATTTGAGTAACCCCCATTTACAATCTCTCCAATGTATTATCAAAATCCAGTAAGTGAAAGCCTGACAATTGAAGTCAAAATCTTACCAAATATTACGTATAAGAAGTTCTTTGCAACCGCAACATACTTAGCAAAAACATTGAAAGAAAAGGAAATATTAGAACAAAAATGCTGATGAGGTGTTTTTGTGCACTGATGCTACAGTGTTGTGTTCAGTCTGTTTAGGGAAAGAAAGAACAAAGCATATATATAGATACATCTATAGATATACAGACAGACAGATAGAGAGAGAGAGAGTTATATCTCAAAGCTACTTAATAGCTTTGAGAGTGGAAACCTATTTTTATAAAAAGAAACCTGAAATTTCACAATTGCCTTTTTTCTGCCATGCCACAAGCCTATGCACAGTTAGTGACCCAGTAGTTCTGCCATGGCTCCCAAAGGTATGTGTGTCGGCATATGAAATTGGGTGGTGGAAGGAGAGCAGACATAGATTGCTCAGCTTATTTTCCTCCTCGTTAAGCCATACCCATACCATCTCACTCTGTCAGTCCTAACACCCATGCAGCCACACACACACACACGCACACGCACACACACACACGCACGCACGCACGCACGCACCTTATTGCGCCTTCGTTTTCACCCATTACATCTCTCCTCCATGACACTTCCTCGGAGCACCAATGAGACCCTTGTAATGAAGAGCAGTGAAGCAGACACTTGTCAGTCTTCATTGAAAGGTCCTCAAATTGACATCCATTTCACACATGCATACACACAAGTATCAGCAGGCAAATACAGGAGCAGGCTGAGCATGGAGACTCAGCCTGATCCAACAGCTCACACGTTTGCTGCCCTTCATGGACAAAATTGTGTTTTGTTCCTAGAGGGTAAGATGCCTTTAACCATTACTCCTGTTTTGTTTGACTCTCATAGAAAGTAATCCTGGCTAACATGTAACTGCAAGGTATTATTATGACTGAACCAGAAAGTTATATGACCTGAATCTGAATGTTTAAATTAATTATATAAAAATTAACTGGATTGGATATACACATAAACCTGTTTGTCTAATGCACGATTTAGGTGACAATTATTGTGAATTGCTTCTAGTGAAATTAATCTTTGCGGCATTTTATTTTATTCCTCAAAGGCAAGATAAATATTTGTTACCTTGAAGGAACACCAAGTCCAAGATGAAAAAGCGGAGAGCTATCATGGCACGGTAAGCAAGGTGGAGGTCTTGAATGTGAATGTGGGCTTTTCACTTAAATCCAGAAACAAAAATGCTTTACTAAGAATCAAACAGATCTGACATGTGAGCCCAGCATTATCTTGTTATTGGACATTAGTGAGATAATACTTCAAGCATGCAAACAGCCAGCCAAGCCAGTCTCCATGTTGCTCTGTTGTTATGTATAGGCTGAGTAAAGCCACTTTCTAAAAGTAATTATACTTTAGCAACAAAGAGGCAGGGAGGAAAAGGACATCAGCAAACAAGTGGAGAGAGAAAGAGACAGAGATGGTAAATGTTCGTCTCAGCTTCAGCCAGCAGGGAATTGAATTAACCCTTTCCAATTTGTTGTTTATAAAGATAAAGTGGACTTGGAGAAAAGGCTGAGGGGAGCTCCATGTGATCCACAAGCTCAGCCGGGTATCCCCATCACATCCACACAAAAGTAATGGAGCTCACAAGACAAATATGGAGCATTCAGAGGACATGGCAGAACAACAACTGCACAGACAAAAAGGGGAAACCCTAATAGAAACGTGTAACAACATGTCATAAGGCTTATTGATGTTAGATGTGTTTTTCTCTCTTCTGGATACTTGTGATTCATGTGGCACCTCGGGAGTTGGTCCCTGCTGTGTTTCCAAATCTAATGAGGACAACAAGGACAAGGTCACCTGTGCAAAACAACAAATGTTTTTTTTGTTTTTTTTCATACATTAATCACAAATTTTTTTAAAAAACTGTAGTTACAGGAGAATTCAGAGAGATTTAAGAACCTATATTAAACAGAGTCATGGTATTAAAACACCATGACTATATTGTTGCCGATTCTGGTTTCACATTGTCTGCAGGTAAGTGTGTCTTACTTGATTACTCTGTTTGCTTATAAGT